CTTAATTTTTAAAATATGAATATTCAGTAACTGGGCCAATCTTTTCTTCCACCTAACTTCTTCACTGGATCACAATTCCCTCGAAATAGCTCACTTTTGTTCCAAAAGGCTTTTCACTATTCTTTCTGTGTAGGTAACATCCAAAGACAAACCCCACAGAGAAAAGAATATGAACCCAGTGCTCACACCATCTGAAGTAAGTTCACCACAACTGCTGCAGCCCTGGTGCCAACAGCAACCCCACGACTAACCCCTTACAGTTACAAATATTTACTGAGGGTGTATTAGGTGCCAAAGGCTCGTTTAGCACACATTTTTCAAAGGCTGTTATCATGTGAGCATCAACAAAGTGACAGATTTAGGAGAGATTATATTACTCTCACAGGACACATGAAAAAACCTAAGGCACACAAAGAGGTTAAGCAACTTGGCCAAAAGCCTGGAGGCCAGTGAAGAGCCCAGCAAACCTGACCACCACTGCACATGCCGGCACACTCACTGCTGGCCTGAGTGCACACACACTATGTAGTGAGGAAGGCCAAGCATGATTCACCCAAATCACGTGGAGAGGAGATTTCAAAGACTCCCTCGGCTATTCAGTGCCTAGGCAATTCATCTAGAGTTGAAGCCTAGTTGTAGTAAGGGAACAGAGATTATAAACTGCAGGTTTTAAAACGTCAAGGGGGCTCTGTATCTGGGAGGGATATTGCAGGTAATTTATAATTTTACTTAATATTTTTCTATCATATCTTTTTAACCATATTATTTTTATAAAAGAAAAAGATCAAACTAGCTCCATTTTTCCAAAAGGTAGATGCTTAATTTACACTAGAAGATTTTGGCAAACTAAAGGCTCCTGTGACAAGAATAGAATTTAAAAAAAGGAAAGACAAGGGGGAAAACTCAAAACTAAGGCAAATGGAGCAGGAGTATTAAGCCCTCAGAGCATGAAGTTGTTGAGTTGAAAAGATGCAATATCTATTTTGCCACAGTGAATAAATTTAAGAGGAATTGGTTCTCATTCCACATTCTCCCAGAGCAGGAAAGTACGAAAGAAGGTGCTAAGAGTAGGTCTGACAGAAGCTCTTATTTGACGGTGTCATGCTTTGGTGAGTGATGTCCAGGAGTGTGAAGACTAGTTAGTGTCAGGAGATAACCACGATGACTGACACATGCACGCTGGCCCCACTAGTTCTACGCCCAGAATGGGAGAGCCAAAAGATCCATTCATAGAGCAAGTCTGTGCCTTCAGAAAGTCAACAGCCACAAGTACCTGGACTGCACCTACAAGAGCCAGATTTACGTGCTCCATGTACTCCCTGGGAATTCACCCTGGGTGGTAGAGAGGAATAATAAACCCTACAAGAACAAATTACTGATGATTCCAGAAGATTCTTTCCTCACTTGTTAACATTCAACCTCTCCCCACCGCTGCACTTCTAAGATGACTAAGTCTGCTTCAAAAGGCCCCCTGAGCCCTGTGTTCTCTTCACACCCACCTCCTCACATCCCCCTCTGGCTGTCCACCTCCCTTCACCACTCATCACCGCATTGCACTGGTATTGCTTATTCACGCTGTCTGTCTCTACCAGACCATAAGACCTCCAATGTCCAGCTCTATCTTGGTCATCTGTGTCCCCTAATAATTAGCATAGCCGCTGGCACATAATGGAACCCACAGCTGTCTTGTGATTTAGGAGAGACTGGCAAAAGACTCTGCTTCTGGAATTTTTCACTTTTACTAAATAAGAACATGGATAATGAAGTACTTAAGTAGAAGAAAAAACACATTCGGTTTTCCTACTAAACACTTCAAAGGAAAGCCTCATTAACACAGCCCACTCCGATTTCGGAGCCGACTATTATTTCAGCTGGACTGAAATTCACCGTGACAACTCATATGCACAGAGTGCACAGGAAATGCAAACTGCAGAGCTGCCACGGTGAGGGAGGGAAGCGAGGAGGCTGGGCATTTGCCTGTTTCTCAGAGTGAACTTCAAGGACCACAGAATGATTTTTACATGAAAAATAGTCTGACTTTCATAAATAAACAATCAAAAGAAAGTCTAATGCCCAGTCCAACACCTGGTCAACAGCTGGTCAGCATTTTTCATACCCAGCAGGACACACGCAGATCTCACTGTCCAGTCTCTCCCAGAATCCACACTGAAGGCCACTCCTGCACGCTCTCCCTCACTCACTCAGCCCTTGCCAGGCAGCCAGGAAATACACGGGGCTTAGTACATCCAGCTGGTATTTTAAGCAAAGAAATCTTCCCCTGATGTTAGATTTGGTTATCCTTTCCATGTTATCCCCCATTTAATGCCAGTCTTAAGGTTCCTAAGAAAAAAAGGAGATGGCAGAGTGGTTAAGAGGACAGCCGGGAGCCGGACAGATCTCGTGAAATGCCAATTCTTTCACTTACTGAGGAATTATCTCCTAGTCTTGGTGCCTTATCAATAAAATAAAAATAGTACTAGAATTTACAGGGTCATCATGAAGCTTAAATAAGGCAATGCATAAAAATCACTTAATACATTTTAACGATTATTATTCTCTGCACCAAAGACAGGTTAGCATGATTGTTAAAAGCATGTGTCATACTGCCTGAGTTTAAATCCCTGCTCTGCCACTTCTTAGCTATTTTGGCAAATTATTTAACCTCTCGTGTCCTAGTGACCATTAAATGGAATTCCTGGGACAATTATATGTGTAATACATTTAAAATCAGAACAGTGCCTGACACAGAATAAGCTCTCAATAAACATTAGTTATTAACTACAGACATCTAAAAAAAGAGTTCCTACACATCAAATTTTAAAATTGGGAAGATGACAAACGCTATCAATAAGCAAGTTATAGAAAGAATACAAATGGCCAATAATATTAAAAGATGCTCAGGCTCATTCATTATTAACAGAATGCAGAATTAAAACACTGATTTAATTTTTCACCCAAGATTTTGTACAAAGTAAAAGGGTAATATTAAATGCTAGTGAGCAGAAAAATACACACTCCCAATATATAGTTGATGGAAAGGTAAATTTGCACATTTTTGAAAAGTATATGACAAAAGGCCAGGTGCTGTGGCTGACAACTGTAATCCCAGAATTTTGGGGAGGCTGAGGCGGGAGGATCACGTGAGCCCAGGAGTTCAATATCAGCTTGGGCAACAAAGTGAGATCCCGCCTCTACAAAATATTTTATTTTTTAAATTAGCCAGGCTTGGTGGCATGCACCTATAGTGCCAGCTTCTTGGGAGGCTAAGGCAGGAGGATCGCTCAAGCTCAGGAGTCTGAGGTTGCAGTGAGCTATGATCACACCTCACTCCACCCTAGCCTGGATGACAGAGTAAAATCCTGTCTCAAAAAAAAAGGTGGAGTGCAGTGGCTCATGCCTGTAAACCAAGCACTTTGGGAAGCCAAGGCAGGTGGATCACTTGAGGTCAGGAGTTTGAGACCAGCCTAGGAAACACGGTAAAACGCTGTCTCTACTAAAAATACAAAAATTAGTTGGACATGGTGGTGCATGCCTGTGATCCCAGCTACTCAGGAGGCTGAGGCACAAGAATCGCTTGAATCTGGGAGATGGAGGTTGCAGTGAGTTGAGACTGTACTCCAGCCTGGGCAACAGAGCAAGACTCTGCCTAAAAAAAAAAAGTGTAAAAACACATTATTTTGACTCAGCAGTTCCATCTCTAGAACTCAATCCAAAAGAAATATTCATCAAAGTGGGCAAACATATGTAAAAGAAACCAGAAACACCACCACAAGGCCATCAATAGAGCGCTGGTTAAATAAAGTTTTACACCAGCACAGTGGAAAATAACCTCTAAAAATACTGAATATCCACATATACAGAAATGAAAACATATTCCTACATATTAAGAATAAAGTCATACAACAGTATTACACGTCATTTTTATTTTTAAATAAAAAACGAAGGTACACATCTATTGATTTATGTCTGTGCTTGGAGACATCTGAAAGATGCTAGTAACTACATTTGGCAAATGTGATAACTACATTATTTACATTTTGCAATACACCTGTATCACTTTTTACTGTTTTACTTGTTTTTTTAAAGATGTGTAAGAACAAAAATGGTTAAAAGCACAGACTGTACAGTCAACATCCTGGATTTGCATGTCTGCTATCTATTAGCAATGTGGCCTCCATGTCTCAGTAGTCCCAATGTATAACAATGACACCTGTATACTAACAGCAACAACAATCACTGTTTGTTACAGGGCTCTGGTGAGCATTAACCTATGGCAGAGGGTAAGCACTGTATGAGACATATCCACTATTATTAACCTTGAACAGCATTCTTAGACACATTACTTCAACTCAGCCATCCACAGAAGCCCATCTAAAGTGACCAACAAAATTATCAGTAGACAACTGGCACAGCAAATATGCTGGCTCTTGATAACCAGTTAGCAATATGAAGTATTGCTTGGCAACCTAGGATTTCAGTTCTAGCTAGGGTTTCTCTTGTCCTCAACTTCCTCATCTGTTCAAAGGAGGAAGCTGACTTAGATCTAACAAATCTAATATTCTAATAGGATAACTTTACTGTTTAAATAATCATACATCTTTACGGTTGCCTCAAAAATGTACTGAAGTCAATCGATCCAGAATCTGAAGCACAACTCCATACTAAAATACATGCTCCATAACAGGGAAACTCCTTCCAAAACTGTCTCTTGGAATGTACCGCAGCAGAAAATGACTTCCTGCACCTGAACATATTCCAACTGCATTTCCCACAAGCATGCTATAACTCACGTATCTCATTCACTTAGATGGTTTCCTCTCACCGATCCCCCTGCCCACACCACAAATACAAATTAGTGATACTTTACGTTCATCAAGACGCTATGGTTTCATGACCACATGAAGACCAAGTAATAACTTTTTCCCGCTTGCTAAAAACTTAAAATGTACTGCATGGTGAAAAATGCCTCACACACACACAAACCAATGTAAAACACTTACACGAAACGCTGCAAGAATGATTCTTGTTACTTTCTCTTTGACAGATTCTTGAAGGATATCAGACAGAACGGGAATGATATTATAGCGCCGCAGGTGTTCACACATTTGAGGACTGAATGCCAGGAGCCATATTGAAAAAATCATTTGATACTGGAGCTGAAAGCCACACTTGTTACTCAACACGCCCATTATGCTGCAAAAAAAAACACACACATTTAGAAAACATTTACTATGAAAGCAGAAGAAAGAAGAAATAAACAATTATTCTCTTTTTGTACTAATGGAACAAGTCTCTCTGAATTATGTCCTGTTCTTTTCTGCCAGCAGTACCAAGCAGCTAGGCTGCTACTCACAGGGAACCACTTCCAGTTCAGCTGCACTTAACCCCCTCCAAAAGTCACAGGACCTCAGGAAGCAGGTGCTCTTGCGGTGTGGCAACACGAAAGGGAACAAAGACTTGCAATATGGCAATGGGAATGGTAAGAAGAATCAGAGCCAAATGTTACATGGAGATTTGGAGTCTAGGAACCAATAAGACCACTGATAGCTTTAAAATATAAAGGAAACAGAAAAGAAGGGATGAGTTTGGTGAAAACCTGTGATGGGTTCAAATTTGACACAGTCAGTTACTGAATTTGTAGGTCAGGAAAAACCTCGGGAAGCTTCTGGTTTTATCTCTGACTTTACCAGTAAGGAAACTAGGAAAATGACATGGAAATGAAGTAGGTTATGCCAAGAGAGACAGTACAACAGAAGAAGAGCTAAGGAAATTGCTGTAGGTAATGCCTACATTCAAACAATGCAGTTTAGAAGTCATCAAATAAGACCATTAAAAAATGACCTTCATATTGGAGCAGAACCTACCATTTAAAAAGAAAAATAAAAAGACCAGAGGGGTTAAGAGCTCGAAGACCACAGAACATACAACACAAAGAGTGAGCCCTAATGTAAGCTATGGAACTTATTAATAAAAACCTATTAGCACTGCTTCATCGATTGGAACACATAGACCACACTAATGCAAGATGTTAATGAAAAGGGAAATTTGTGGGGAAGAGGGGAAGATGTAATGGGAACTCTCTGCACTTTGTTTTTCTGTAAAACTAAAGCCACTCTAATAATATAAACGTTTAAAATTCTAAGCCTGATTTTTACAGTCTAAACCTACTGTAACTTACTGAAGGCTTTTAACTGTGTCATTTCTCCATTTATTTGATTTGTATATAGCTCCATTCACTAATTGCTTTTAATTTTCTCAGGCATGGCTTCTGTCTTGCCTCCCCTGTTTTTCGTTGTTAGGTAAAACTTGCTTTTTAATTAATATTGGTATCAATATATAAGCTGCCGTAAGTCATGTCATTTTATACCGTGAACACCCTAGTCCCTGGTTTCCCTTGCTCTCTGCTCCAGTTAGGAAGCCAAGCCTTCTCCACTCGGCTTTGCGATGCTGTGGCTGAGACCCTGAAAACTGTATTTCTCTTCTACCAGCTGGCTCACTGTTAGGCTACGCCACGAACAGAAGCTAGAGGCTGACTTCAAGGAAAGAAGGGACTTCCTCCTGTCGGCTTTCTGTTCCTGAGAGCATTACCCCAGGAACACCCCTTTAACCCGGCAGCACCCGTTCTTTTCCATGGCAGCAGCCAAATTCAGTTTGCAGTTTTTCCAGTTCTAGCAGAATGAGTCCCATCACATTTCCTCAGAGACACCAGCACTAGCCAACTGGCTTCCCCTCCCCAGAGTCCTGGTTTCCAGATCCATGAGGCTCTTCCCAGGAGTTCAGAGACACCAACATCAGCTGGGCAAACCTCCTCCTCAAATGTCTAAATTTCAACTGTACTCACCCCTCCTCCAAGCATGCAAATTTTAATGATTCCAATCTCTTACTGTTGCCCACCCTCTTTACCTCCCCTACCCCGCCTTATGGGTGGTATCTGCACTTGCTACCTTTCTGACACTCGAGTGTCATTTTTTGTTGTAGTTGTTTCATTTTAAACAAAATCAGTGGCTGGGTATGGTGGCTCAAGCTGCTAATCCTAGCACTTTGGGAGGCCAGTGGCTGGGAGTTCAAGACTAGCCTGGGCAACATGGTAAAACCCCATCTCTATCAAAAGAACATAGTAATACAAAAACATGTCCAAAACAATACAAAAATAAATCAGTTTAGCAAATGTATACCTAGTTAATAATTCTTCATATCAAATTGTCTGTTAAAAGAATGTCAATTGTAATTTAATGGGAATAGCACTGAATCTATAAATTACTTTGGGCAGTAGAGGCAATTACCCCCAGCAAAGGCCCACTTATAGCTCCAATATTTAAGTGAAATATTAAGTCCAATATTTTACAGTGAAAAGCTCCAATATTTAAGAAGTCAATGTTAACCTTCAGACCTTGTGAAGCTACACAATATAGCACAATGCAATGTAAATTCTTTTTATCCTATATAGGTATACAAATACTCAGAAATAGTGTTGTATTATGTAGATAATAGGCTTTTTAACAAGAAAAAAAGTCAGCAAATTATATAGATTAAAATGTACTGGGTTTTTTAAGACCGCCGTTATCTTCCTCTCTTCAAACGGGCTATACTTGAAGTCTTTTCTCCTCACGTTATTCCTATCTGCAACGTGAAACACACACACACACACACACACACACACACAAATTCAATGCTAAGCAGAAACTCGAAAAGCAGGAAGTACATGTTTTATTCTGAAAAAATGAAAAGATTAAATGACTTTTTGAAATTGCTATACGTTCAGCAGATTAAGATAGTATACCTTTATTAATGCCCATCTCTCTACCTAAAGGTTGATCTGATTACTGCTAATCTTATTAGCGGTCATTAGCATATCAAACTACATTGGTTGAACATGAAATAGCCTAGATCTTATTTACACCTGATCTTGCTGCTGCTGAATGTTCTCTAAAATACTAAGTACTAGTCATTAGAAGAGCATTTGTTACACCTCAGCATACCATGAGAGTTCAAAGGGACCAAATTTTGGTATTTGAGTTTGTTTTATAAGCAATTATAACTATTTGTAGAGATTGCTAATTAATGACTTTAATTCTTACAGGTCCTCCATAGAGGGAAAAAAAATCTAATTTTTGTTTGGTAGGATTAAAATTCATTTTATCGTACAACAACCCTAATTGTAAGATAAAATGAATTTTAATTGTGCCAAACAATTCTACTGGGCATTTTTATAAACCACAAAATTTTAGTTGTCTTAGGCTATTTTATCATCCTGTACATTACTTTGTCATTATTCATTGATTATAACCAATTATACTAAGAAATGAAAAACTAAATAAAGCTGGAGACTGACCTAGGAAGATGATTTAATAGTGAAATAATAATTACCCTTTAGCTGCACTGCCCAAAATACAGCATTCTTTCACACAGGTAAGAAGACTGGTAACACCGTTTTGGTCACTCACCTTTAGGTTTCTGTGCAGAAAAGGGTTAACAGCAGAGTCCTGAGGTTGCTAGCCTCAGAAAGACCCGCTTACCAAGGCTGGCCCTTGACTGGCTTCTGGGAATTTGGCTGGTAAACAGGTTCCTACACTGATCAAACTAAACCATTTGTACAAACAGGTGGTTTATGCTGAATTCCTACTGCTGTGGTCTAAATGTCTGTGTCTCTCCAAAATCCATATGTTGAAAGACTAACCCCAAGGTGCTGGTACTAGGTGGTGGGGCCTTTGGGAGGTGACTAGGTCAGGGGGGCAGAGCACTCATGAATGAGATTAGTGCCCTTATAAAAGGGTCCTGAGAAAGACCCCTGTCCCCTCTGCTATCTGAGTTTACAGTGAAAAGATGACCATCTATGAATGAGGAAACAGGCCCTCACCAAACACCAAATCTGCTAGTGCCCTGATCTTGGACTTCCTAACCTCCGGAAATCTAAGAACTAAGTTTCCATTGTTTATAAGCCACCCAGCATTTTGTTACAGCAGCCCAAATGAATTAAGACACCTACTTCGTTGTGTTTTAGGTAGAGCCTGTCTGCATAACTAACCGCTAATAATATCTTAGGATCCGAGTCTCTGATGGGTTTCCTGAACAGAAATCTCACACAATCCATCCTGGGGGAGATGCACTCTGTGTCACCCCTCTGGGAGAAAGAGCATAAGGGAGCCTTCGCCTGGATTCCTCCACACTCAGCCTGTGTCTTTGTCCCTTATGACACAGCTGTGCATCCTCACTACATCTCTGTAATAAATCTTATCTGTGAATACAACTATATACTAAGTCCGTGAGTCTTTCTAATTAATCCCTGACAGTGTGAACACAGCTGAGAATTCAGAATTTTTTATTTTCTGCCCATAATAATGACCAACAGAGGAAAGTGTTTCACAGTTATCAGGTTATTCAGAAGATGAAAATAAACAGATAGACTGCACTCTATTTCCTAACAATAACGGTGAAATGGGTCAAATAAGTGAAATCTTAAACTGTAAGTCTCTAGATAGCCATATCATAAGTGAATTTTTTCAAACTCAAGAACTGATAAGTGAGGAATATATTTCTAAGGACAAAAAAGGAATATAGTACTCTCATCTAGTTAGCCACTGAACATCAAAGACTTCCAGACAGTATTTTGTGGCAAGAACCTAGACCATTTCGCTCAAGGACATGTGATGATTGTCTGTCACCTTTCATGATATTTGTGTACCAAAATGTACTTTTTACAAAAAGGTTGCTATATTTTAATTTTTATTAAAATTTCTAATAGTTGTTTTTCACTCTCTTTATTTTTAGTTCGGTTAACTTTTCACAAAATGACTAAAAATATATTTGAAAGGGTCTTTTGGACCCAGAAGGCAAACTGTGATGGCTATTTTTCCTAACTGAGGATTCAATAAACAAGCACAAGCTGAAATTTCATAGAGTAATAGAAAAATAGCTACTAACTTGCTAAATTGATGGATATTGAATAGTTGTAGAATGCAAATATAATTCCTAAGAAAGCCTATTTGCAGAAGTAACTCATTCTAAGACACTGAATACAAATATTGACTGAGAAGATCTAGAACACTTGGGTCCGTTTCACAAGTATATCCTACACTGGAGACACAGGGTAAGAGTCCAATGGTTGTTTTAAATCCTCATCCACCAAGTAGCCTACTGTTGATAACCTAACTTTCCTGTAGATTTTCTAACAGAGAAACAATGCCTTGCTAACTGAAAAGAAGATTGGGTTTAAGAGCAGTCAGAGCTCTCATTATGAATAAATAAATTGATTTTCTGATGGTAAAACAAGATTTCCATTGTTTAGGTTTTCAGTTGCTTGTCTGTATAAGCCCGAACAGGCAGCTCCTCGAAGTTTCTATACCTGCAAATTAGGATCCCGCCAAGATTGGGCTAAATTATATGGCATTAGAAAGAAAGGTTTATATTCGCTCTTTCCTGGTTATGAACTTTTCTTGTTGATTTTTGCCTATATTCGCCATAAAATATTTTAAAAATTATTTTATATTCTGAGTACCTGGAATCCGTCCTGTTAAACATCAGGTTCTTAAGAGGCCTTAACCTCTTATCAAAGCACAGATCAAGCAAGGGAAGGGGTTCGATAGTTACTCACTTCCAAGAAGGCTAGCACAGCCAATTGTTAAACAGATACGAAAAAAATAAAATACCTCTTTTAGATTATTACATATTTCTTTGTAAATGTCAAGGAGAGATGCTTATAAATGTTATTTTACATTAAAGGTAAAGGGCACTCACCAATTTACCCCATCTGCTTCCACCCAAGCAAAGCGGTACTCGTTGACCCGGAGCATCAGCTGCAAACACCCAGCCACGCACTGTACGTACTGCGAACTCTGTACAAGAAGAAGTTCACGGTTTTTAAATCGGAAAACATGTAAAGTCAGGCGATCAGACACACTTCTAAATGCAAAGCCTGATTACCTACTGGAATTAGTATCTGGGCATCCAAAATTCCCTAACCTCTTTTCAAAAGTTAATTCTCATGTTTGCTTTTATGTCTACCTCTTAGAAATTAACACGATTTTGTCTCCTGAATTAAACCTACACAAGTCAGGACTACTTAACACACAGTTGGGAAAATCAGGAATGAAATACTTTATATTTAATATAGTTTGATAAGCATATTGCCTTACAGCGTTTCACATACCCCTGAATAAAGATACTATATATAGAGAATACTGTTCCACCTAATTACAGACCTACCAAAGAGCAATAAAATTAACAAAAAGAAAAAAGTAAGTCAAGATAGGCCTGTATGTGAATGACCTCGGACAAGTTACTGAACTTTTTCAATATGCCATTTCTTCATCCTTATGAGAAGACTGCCAAGCACCCTCAATATTGTTAGATTTGAGGGAAATAATTCAGGCTGGACACAGTGGTTCAAGTCTATAATCCGAGCACTTTGGGAGGCTGAGGCGGGTGGACTTCCTGAGCTCAGGAGTTCAAAGCAAGCCCGAGCAACATGGCGACATCCATCTCTACTAAAATTACAAAAAATTAGCTGGACATGGTGGCACGTGCCTGTAATCCCAGCTACTTGGGAGGCTGAGGCATAAGAATTGCTTGAATCCAGGAGGCAGAGGTTGCAGTGAACTGAGATCACATGACTGCATTCCAGCCTGGGCGAAAGAGACTCCGTCTCAAAAAAAAAGTAAATAAATAAATAATTCATTTCCCAACACAGCTAGACATACATAGGAACTCAGGAAATTAAAACTTTATAAAAAATTCCATATGGCATATAAAAAGTCTAATTAAACACTTGAAAAAGACTATGATTTTTAAAACCATCAGTTCAATAACACTGTCCCTTAGAAACTGTGCTTACACCTAAAACTTAAATAGGAATAATAATCCCTGAAAGTTGCATGCCCCTTCATTTTACCAAAGTTAGTAGGAACATCTGACGAGGACTTTTCCTTAAATATGTACAATAAGCCCTATAACTTTAAGAAGTAGAGAAAGGAGGCTGAGTATGACGGTTCACACCTGTAATCCCTGCACTTTAATCCTCAGGAGGCCGAGGCAGGCAGATCACTTTAGGTCAGGAGTTCAAAACCAGCCTAGCCAACATGGTAAAACCCCGCCTCTACTAAAAATACAAAAATTAGCCGGGCATGGTGGTGGGCACCTGTAATCCCAGCTACTCAGGAGGCTGACGCAGGAGAATCACTTGAACCAGGGAGGCAGAGGTTGCAGTGAGCCAAGATCATGCCACTGGACTCCAGCCTGGGCATCAAACTGAGACCCCATCTCAAAAAAAATTAACAAAAGAAGTAGAGAAAGGAAAGGAAATTTCAGAGAATAGCCTTTAAGATGAACATGCTAATTTCACAAACACAAAAAAGAACTTTTTAAGGAAAACATGAATGTTATATAAATTCACAGAACCTAACATACATGATGCTACTTAACTTTGTTCTAATTTAAATACCATTCATAAAAGCCTAACACTTCAGAGAAATTCCAGGAACTCTAACACAAAAACACAACAATATAAGTACATCTGGTGGAAGAGTCAAATGTTATCAAGAAAAGGTTATCTCTGGTTGTACCTAAAAAGCAGTTAATTTAGTCCCACAAAAACACAATGTATCTAGTAATACGATTCGCCTGAAAACTCAAAACATTAGCAAAAATTAATGAAATAGTGCATTTTCAGCTCTGAAACAATATTTCATAATGAAAACAGTACTTTCTTTTCCAATTAAGTTGTCAGGTAGAAACTGTCTCTAAAGAAGACGAATCCCATCTTTCCTGTTTAGAGAGATGACCAAGCAAGGTTTCCACACCAATGAATAAAAAGGCAGCCTCGAGCACCCTCTTTTCTTCCGTCATCATCAGCACCTCGAGCACCCTCTTCTCTTCCGTCATCACCAGCACCTCGAGCACCCTCTTTTCTTCCGTCAACACCAGCACCTCGAGCACCCTCTTTTCTTCCGTCATCATCAGCACCTCGAGCACCCTCTTCTCTTCCGTCATCATCAGCACCTCGAGCACCCTCTTCTCTTCCGTCATCACCAGCACCTCGAGCACCCTCTTTTCTTCCGTCAACACCAGCACCTCGAGCACCCTCTTCTCTTCCGTCATCATCAGCACCTCGAGCACCCTCTTCTCTTCCACCATCACCAGCACCTCAAGCACCCTCTTCTCTTCCGTCAACACCAGCACCTCGAGCACCCTCTTCTCTTCCACCATCACCAGCACCTCAAGCACCCTCTTCTCTTCCGTCACCATCAGCACCTTGAGCACCCTCTTCTCTTCCATCATCACCAGCTTCCTCTCATCACAAACATTCTTTGTTTCAGGGTGAGTCTTTCTTTTCTGTGGCTACTCACCATGCTATGTTGAAATACGTAACGCACCACAGGGATGGATTCTTGGTTGTTATTTCAGCTTCAGTATTCCCACCACAAATGAGCATATAAAACGTGCTGGTCCTAAAGCTGACACACTCTCTCCTAATGCACACGATCAGGCAGTAGCCACACCATTCCTGAGATTACTTTCACAATGTAGACAGAAACAGCACTGGGAAACCATTCCATTATTGCCTCCAATTACACCAAGCAGACTGCATCACTTTCTTGTTTTTCACTTAAACTGAAGTTAAAGAGGAAATAAAAATGTCCACTTTTATGATGCAAACAGCTCATTATTATGATACCCATTTTTTCAGAAGAGGAACCCAAGACATAAACAGGTGATATAATTTGCTGAAATGAAAATACTGAGTTTACCTGGTGCAGTGGCTCACACCTGTAACCCCAGCACTTTGGGAGGCCAAGGCGGGCAAATCACTTGATGTCAGGAGTTTGAGACCAGTCTGGCCAACATGGCAAAACCCAGTCTCTACTAAAAATACAAAAACTAGCTGGGCGTGGTGGCATGCACCTGTAATCCCAGTTACTCAGCAGGCTGAGGCAGGAGAATCACTTGAACCCAGGAGGCAGAGGTTGCAGTGAGTAGAGACAGTGCTACTGAACTCCAGCCTGGGCAAGAGTGAGACCCTGTCTCAAAAAAAAGAAAATAGTGAGTTAATCTTAGATTGGCACTGGAAGTCAACTCTCCTCCTGCTTGAGGTGGTATTCTTTGTACTGTGCCAAGCATTCTGGGCTAAGAACCTGGCACAACATGCATTTTCTATGCAGCAAACCTTGATGGTCGAGAGAAAAACACTATGTTCACTTCTCAACACATTAAAGAGAATATGATTTAGAAACATTATACAATGTTGCTGAAAATGCAAACTGTTACTGTATTACACTGAACGTCACAACAGAGAAAATAGCAACTACAGCATTCACCTTCTTAGTGAATGTGTCTCAGATACATACACCACGGAATTACAAATTCAGTAACTGAGGAACTGCAAAATAAGTAGGCAATAAAAGAAACATAAAAATATCAAGGACACTGTGTGTACAAAGTAAAATGAATGTTATAAAAATGTTTACAGACAAATTTTCAATATTCATCTTCATAATGCTAGGATGTAAGCACAAACTAAGTGAAAAAGGATAAAAACAGTATTCATCTAAATTCTGAAATTGTCAGCAGTTGAGAAAACAAGTCTGCTTGCAGTAAAAGGCATCTGTTCCACAGAGACATGGTGAAAATGCACAGAATGCTGGTATCAGTGAAGCACGGAGATAAACTTTTCAAACATATAATTAACTAAAATATGGCCTAGAAAGCAGTTTTACGTGAAATGAAAAGATGCTGAGCAAAGTTCTAAAAGTAATTAATATGTTTCATGACTATTAAACCTCTTTCTCTTAAAACTAAAAGGTGATTGTAGGCATGTGTGTATGTGTGAGTTTTGCTTCTATACAGACATGAAAACAATACAGGACAATACCAAGTGTCAGCAAAGAACTGAAACAAATGGAACTTTCATACTTTGTTGAAGGGCAAATAAACCAAAAACTGGCAAGACCCACTAAGACTAAATTTACATACACCCCATAAATCGGCAATTCTACTCTAAAATTAGATGCTACAGACATAAAGGTATACATCTGCCAAAAAATATGTACAAGAATGTTCACAGCAAGATTATTCACAAGAGTCAAAAAACTAGAAGCAACCCAAATACTCATAAGAGAATGAGTAATAGTAATATAATGAAATACTACACTGCAATGAAAAAGAATTACTGCTAAAGGCAATGAATGAATTTAAGAGACACAATGTTAAGCAAGAAAGTTCAGACACATCAGAGTTTCTACCGTATATGACTCCATTAAATGGAGTTGAAGATCAGACAACACGACTCTATGGTAATAGATGTCATCGTAATAACCTTTGTGCGAGCTGAGGTGAAGGCAGCAGGAGAAATTATGAGGTATAAACTCATCCCACTGAACATTTAACGTGGGCGCATCTTCCTTTATGTAAGTTATGACATGATAAAAGAGAAATCGAGAAAAGAAAGGAAAAGAGGAATAGAGCGGAGGACAGAATGAACACCGGAACAGGAATCAGAAGTGTTGTCACATAATGTTGGGCAACTCACTTAACTTCATGAAAACTGTTTTCTTGTTAGCAAAAGAAAAAGAAAAATAATATCAGCTCTACCAAACTGGGAAAAGGAAAAAAAAAAAAAACTGCTATGAAACTGAAATCAATTTCTATAAAACACTAAACAATTGTAAAGTACTAGTATCATCACTATTCAGGAACGAAAATACATATATACCCCAAGAATTCTCTTGAAGCTGGCTGATTAAAAGAGATCCTCCAGTCAACAGTCCTATCTAAATTAAGATACAGTTTTACCAAAAAAAAAAAAAAAATATTTTCACTACTGGTTTACAAATTTATAAATCTTCAAAGTATTACTTTCAATCTGATGTGCTTAATCCAGTATTTCAACTACATGACTAGTGGGAATCTTTATTATAGAAAAAAATTGTGGGCCTAACTTAAAAAAAAAAAGCGATTTACTTTATAAATCATTGCTTTGTATGCAACTTCCGAGAACATAATAAATACATAGTATTAGGTTAGCTTAATTTATCAGTGCCATACTTTGAAAATGACATGTAAAAGGAAGTCATACCTAAATATTTTACCAGTTAATTTTCTTTTGCATTTCAGAATATATCTGCAGGCAATCCTTCCAAAATTCAATACAAAGCCCATTTTATAATAAGGTGTTGGACAGCTCATGTAATTTACCGAATACAGTGCTGAAAGCAAAAAACACGATGGTTGCATGGATACTTGATGTACTACTCCTTCCAATGTCTATGGTTTTCGCACACTATAAAGTTGAAAAATCATAAGTTGGACCATCATAGGTCAGGGACTATCTAATTTTCTGTGAGTTACTCTAGGTCCCCACAGACTTCACAACTCACCCGCTAGAGCAGACTACGATTCAAGAACAGGCCTGCACTACATGAATTACTGATGTGGCCCACTGATTTCTGCTACTTCCTCAGCACTTTTGATGGACTCAGAGTCAAAGCAATAAAGAACTAAAGGAAGGAAGTCCTCTACCTCTTCTGAAGGGGTGACAAGTATTACATCAGCACGGCATTAAATGAAAAACAAAGTCCAAGCAGTGAAACTAGCCTCCATTAACAAGAATATTAGAACTGCCACAAAAAAAAATTTAAGCGATCTGGTCAAAAGACAAAAAAAAACACCCTAAGTTCTGGGCCGGGCACAGTGGCTCACACCTGTAATTCCAGCACTTTGGGAGGCCAAGGTGGGCAAACTACTTGAGATCAGGAGTTCAAGACCAGCCTGGCCAACATGCTGAAACCCCCGTCTCTACTTAAAAAACAAACAAAAAAACTAAGCCCTTTTTTCTCTCAACCTAAAATACTGTTACTGCATGCTAAAACAGATGAATCTTGAAAACATTATGCTAAGTGAAAGAAAACAGTCACAGAAAACCATGTATGATATCATTTCTATGGAATGTCCAAAAGAAGCAAATCCCGAGACAGAAAGTGGGTTAGTGGTTGCCAGGGCTTGGAGGCAACAACGGGAATGGGCAAGACTGTTAATGTGTACCGGGGTTGCTTGGTTCGTTTCTCTGAGATGTTGAAATGTTATGAAGTTAGACAGTGGTAATGGTTACACAATTCTGTAAATATGTCAAAAACCACTAAACTGCCAGAGGGTGCATTTCACAGCATGTGAAATATATTTCAATAAAGCTATTTTTAAGACTAAATAAAATTGAAAATGTACTTCCTCACTCACACTTCCAAGGGCTCCAGAACCATACACCGCTAGGGGCTGCCATAATGGACAGTGCGGCTGCAGTGACCATTTCTCCCATCGCAGAACGTTCTACTGGACACGACTACTCCATGAAATCAAGAGGCAAGATGAAACAAACAAGGAGGGCTGGCACCTAAGTCACTAGCAGTGACACAGCATTCATCTAGCAACTACTCATGCCAGATTGATTTCGCAACAAAAATCACGGAGAGCAGGACACAGACATGTATCCTTCTCCTGCATATGCATACTGTACCAATGAAGCTAGGCAGAAGAAAAAGGAAAACAGAAAGAAACAAATCCCCAGCTTCTTTCTAAACCTTCCCAGGTGTGTGAAGGAGTCAGAGTATTCTTTCATCAGGGCATCAGCATAACAATCCACTTCCTCCCTCTAGTGCCTTCCTCAGAAGAAAAGGCCTACAATGCACATTTAAGGATCAGTAAAGAACTCTAAAGTACATATAATCTGATGTCTACTTTCACAATTAGAAGACAAGATAACGCACTTTTAGGAAATTACACTTCTGTATAAAAATGTTTCACTGGGCACGGTGGCTCACACCTATAACCCCAACACTTTGGAAGGCCAAGGCAGGTGGATTGCCTGAGCTCAGGAGTTCAAGACCAGCCTGGACAACCTAGTGAGACCTTGTCTCTACCAAAATACAAAATAAATTAGTGGGGCATGGTGGCATGTGCTTGTAGTCCCAACTATTGGTGGGGGTACTGGGCTGAGGCAGGAGGATGGCTTGAGCCTGGGAGGCACAAGTTGCAGTAAGCTGAGATCATGTCACTGTACTCCAACCTGGATAAGAGAGTGAGACTCCATCTCAAAAAAAAAAAAAAAAGTTTTTGATGATCCACTTATAACTTAAGATGATGCTTCTGAGGCCATTTTAAAAAGGTAAGACTGCTGAAGCATGTTTAACATTTTGCAGTATAAAACTTATTTTATACTGACATCAAGTGGCAATAATTTGTAATGCAGTTTACCAAACGGCTTTTTTCCCCACTCTGAAAACCCAAAGGGATTTAAAGATATGATATTGATACCTTAAAAAGTCTGAGTAAGCAATGTGACTTGAGGAATGCCTAAAGATCCAATTCCAGCTCAGCTGCCTCATAAGTAATTCTCTAAGCAATTCATTTCTTCAGAGTCTCTGCCATTCATTAGCTGTGTGACATCAGGAATGTTGGTATGTTTTTCTGTTCAGTCTTACTACTCATTCATAAAATGTGGCTAATGATATGACCTACATTGAACAAGGAGTGTAAATATTCAAGGAGATGAAAATGTAAAATGAGTAAGTGTTCAGGACATAGTAATAAATATTAGCTCCTAGATTAAGATTCCCCTTTGGAAATACAAATATGAAAGGAAGGGCCGACGCTCTACTCTCAATACATGGAGGTCTGCTTTTCAAGCTGACAGCCATCTAAAAAAGTAAGAGCTTCAGGAAGAGTCCAAAAATATGTCCAGGGTTGAGAGGCACTAAAGGGAAGAAGATAAGAAACCACAGGCCATCTTTTCCTAACTCACAATCACTCCTGATGTGAATTCCAGCTGGGATGTATAAGAATCTACCAGATAAACCACTTTAAACCAACACACCACCAATTCAATTAATTTTTTTTTCTAATGCATTGCACAGAAAATAGCAAAATAATAATGTCATGTCAGCAAAGTCTGTTTCTCCTTATTTAAGCTCTAATAACTTAAATAAGTTTGTAAGTCTAAAAGAAACAAGATAAATAATTTTTCAAACTGGTAGAAATTCAAGTCACATAAAATAAACATTTCCAATTTAAGCAAAATAAAGATTGTCAATGTAAACACCTGCCTCTGACAGAAACGACACTTCCTACTCACCATTCCCCAACCCACCATTTCCTAACCTACCAGGCCCCGAGATCCCACAATTAGCTCTATATGTTACTCTGATTCCACTTCAGAAGGCTAATAGCCATTTTCTGGCCTAACATATGAGTCATCAAACACTTCAACTCATGCTCCAAGAGAAGCCCAGTTTCAAAATGGATTCTGTTGCCATCTATGATCTTAGAACATACAAACCCGTAGCATTCATTCAGATAATGGAAGTATCAGTAACCAACACGGATATGAAGCAGCTCCTACAGAGCTCATTTAGGTCTACTGCAGGCAGGTTACAAAACTCCCCTTCAAAGACGCTTCCTAATTTCCTAGCAATATTTCCAACAAATGAAGCTAGATGTACTTCTGTTTCTGTCTCCTTTTTCCCTTGCTCTCAAATGACTCTCATCATGAACATCGTTATCTGTCCAATCTTACTTCCAATTCCTGAGCTATTCCTAGAGCACAGCGAAGTTAAGTCATCCCAAATGGGAACGATAACTTCAGCCAAGAAAGCAACTTGGGGAGCCACAATTAGGTTTAACCTTTAACCTTTTGGCTCTACAAAAATGTGGAAAGAGATTGGTCAAAAAAGAAAAAGAGTCAGGCAAGGGGTTGGGCCACCCTGTAGCGCCACACAAAGCCTTCAGCTTCACAGTGGCACAGCCAGTTTTAGGGCCATCAAGTAACTGAATTTCTTGGCTGGGTACAGTGGCTCATACCTGTAACTCCAGCACTTTGGGAGGCCAAGGCAGGCAGATCACTTGAAGCCAGGAGTTCTTGAGACCAGCCTGGCCAACGTGATGAAACTCCGTCTCTACTGAAAATACAAAAATTAGCCAAGCATGGTGGCGCATGCTTGTGATTCCCAGCTACTCGGGAGGCAGAAGAATCACTTGAACCCAGGAAGCAGCGGTAACTGAATTTCTTCTAAATGTCCAACATTTAGTTCACCTGCTGATTAGACAGATACCAGTTAGTTTAATCAGGGAACTGAAGATTAAAGAGAAAAACTTTATGATTCTTTGCTCCAATTACGCTTCTGAATTCGAATTTTTGCTTTGATTCTCAGGTCTGAAACAAAGTGGCCTGGAAAACAGAGTAATGGGGAAAAACAAGTCTTATGACTACCACAGAAAAGATGATCCCCACAGACCACCAACATTTATATATAGTTCATAATACAGTCGCCTGGCTGGAGGTGACCATGGACTGACAGTTGGGGAACTAGTAAACACCTTCAAAATTTTAAGCTCTATAACTCAAAGTGATTTATTTTTGGAATGTTTAGGAGGCCAGTGAATTAAGAAGGAATATACTTACATCATTTGAAGAGACCATTCCTGTTTCAACAGCAACACCGCTACCACGCAGTTTCTATTACAAAATAAATAACTCATTATTTAGTTTTGTTTTAATTTCATCCTAATTTATCAGCTCACGAAAGGGAGCTAAGCACATTTTCTCTGAATTCTATGTCATAATTTTACCCTATAATTGTATTCCTAACCCTACTCAATAAAAAGCAAGGGGATGACACAGAACGTTCTAAAGTTCTCTACACTCCTCTAGAGACAATATATTAACCAGTAAATGGCTAAAAATGGGACAATAATAAACTGACTACTAAGCTCAAGGTAAATTTCATGAGTGAAGCTAGTGCGAATTTCCCAGTCTTAAGATTTATCTACGGAATTGTTTTCCCAATAAGACGACTGCCTTAAACTGAGCTGTCCACACTACATTCTGCAGCAGGACTTTCACCCACACTACATTCTGCAGCAGGACTTTCACCCACACTACATTCTGCAGCAGGACTTTCACCCACACTACATTCTGCAGCAGGATTTTCACCCACACTACATTCTGCAGCAGGATTTTCACCCACACACACATTCTGCAGCAGGACTTTCACCCACACACACATTCTGCAGCAGGATTTTCACCCACACTACATTCTGCAGCAGGATTTTCACCCACACTACATTCTGCAGCAGGATTTTCACCCACACTACATTCTGCAGCAGGACTTTCACCCACACTGCATTCTGCAGCAGGATTTTCACCCACACTGCATTCTGCAGGAGGATTTTCACCCACACACATTTTGCAGCAGGATTTTCACCCACACTACATTCTGCAGCAGGACTTTCACCCACACTACATTCTGCAGCAGGACTTTCACCCACACTACATTCTGCAGCAGGATTTTCACCCACACACACATTCTGCAGCAGGACTTTCACCCACACACACATTCTGCAGCAGGATTTTCACCCACACTACATTCTGCAGCAGGATTTTCACCCACACTACATTCTGCAGCAGGATTTTCACCCACACTACATTCTGCAGCAGGACTTTCACCCACACTGCATTCTGCAGCAGGATTTTCACCCACACTGCATTCTGCAGGAGGATTTTCACCCACACACATTTTGCAGCAGGATTTTCACCCACACTACATTCTGCAGCAGGACTTTCACCCACACTACATTCTGCAGCAGGACTTTCACCCACACTACATTCTGCAGCAGGATTTTCACCCACACTACATTCTGCAGCAGGACTTTCACCCACACTACATTCTGCAGCAGGATTTTCACTCACACTACATTCTGCAGCAGGATTTTCACCCACACTACATTCTGCAGCAGGATTTTCACCCACACTACATTCTGCAGCAGGATTTTCACCCACACTACATTCTGCAGCAGGATTTTCACCCACACTACATTCTGCAGCAGGACTTTCACCCACACTACATTCTGCAGCAGGATTTTCACCCACACTACATTCTGCAGCAGGACTTTCACCCACACTACATTCTGCAGGAGGACTTTCACCCACACTACATTCTGCAGCAGGATTTTCACCCACACTACATTCTGCAGCAGGACTTTCACCCACACTACATTCTGCAGCAGGATTTTCACTCACACTACATTCTGCAGCAGGATTTTCACCCACACTACATTCTGCAGCAGGACTTTCACCCACACTACATTCTGCAGGAGGACTTTCACCCACACTACATTCTGCAGCAGGATTTTCACCCACACTACATTCTGCAGCAGGATTTTCACCCACACTACATTCTGCAGCAGGATTTTCACCCACACTACATTCTGCAGCAGGACTTTCACCCACACTACATTCTGCAGCAGGATTTTCACCCACACTACATTCTGCAGCAGGACTTTCACCCACACTACATTCTGCAGCAGGACTTTCACCCACACTACATTCTGCAGCAGGACTTTCACCCACACTACATTCTGCAGCAGGACTTTCACCCACACTACATTCTGCAGCAGGATTTTCACCCACACTACATTCTGCAGCAGGACTTTCACCCACACTACATTCTGCAGCAGGACTTTCACCCACACTACATTCTGCAGCAGGACTTTCACCCACACTACATTCTGCAGCAGGATTTTCACCCACACTACATTCTGCAGCAGGATTTTCACCCACACTACATTCTGCAGCAGGATTTTCACCCACACTACATTCTGCAGGAGGATTTTCACCCACACACATTCTGCAGGAGGACTTTCACCCACACTACATTCTGCAGCAGGACTTTCACCCACACTACATTCTGCAGCAGGACTTTCACCCACAGTACATTCTGCAGCAGGATTTTCACCCACACTACATTCTGCAGCAGGACTTTCACCCACACTACATTCTGCAGCAGGATTTTCACTCACACTACATTCTGCAGCAGGATTTTCACCCACACTACATTCTGCAGCAGGACTTTCACCCACACTACATTCTGCAGCAGGACTTTCACCCACACTACATTCTGCAGCAGGATTTTCACCCACACTACATTCTGCAGCAGGACTTTCACCCACACTACATTCTGCAGCAGGATTTTCACTCACACTACATTCTGCAGCAGGATTTTCACCCACACTACATTCTGCAGCAGGATTTTCACCCACACTACATTCTGCAGCAGGATTTTCACCCACACTACATTCTGCAGCAGGACTTTCACCCACACTACATTCTGCAGCAGGACTTTCACCCACAGTACATTCTGCAGCAGGATTTTCACCCACACTACATTCTGCAGCAGGATTTTCACCCACACTACATTCTGCAGCAGGATTTTCACCCACACTACATTCTGCAGCAGGATTTTCACCCACACTACATTCTGCAGCAGGTTTTTCACCCACACTACATTCTGCAGCAGGATTTTCACCCACACTACATTCTGCAGCAGGACTTTCACCCACACTACATTCTGCAGCAGGACTTTCACCCACACTACATTCTGCAGCAGGACTTTCACCCACACTACATTCTGCAGCAGGATTTTCACCCACACTACATTCTGCAGCAGGATTTTCACCCACACTACATTCTGCAGCAGGACTTTCACCCACACTACATTCTGCAGCAGGATTTTCACCCACACTACATTCTGCAGCAGGACTTTCACCCACACTACATTCTGCAGCAGGATTTTCACTCACACTACATTCTGCAGCAAGGCTTTAAAAATAGGTGCTGATGTCAGGAAGATACAATACGCGACTTGCCTATCCACAGCAAAGGTAACACATTATAATGACAATCAAAAGCTGAAATGCCATACAGAAATGACCGAAGAAAGTTTAAGGCAGAAAGTGCAAGAGAAAAGCAATAATGAATTTCTGAAGGGAAATTTTTATTTTGTTTTATTCAGTAACTACGAAGTGCAGGCACGAGTCCCCATGACCCAAATGCAACACTCCAAACTACCCAAAAATGCTTTGAAGGCCACTATAAGGTCAAAGAACAAAACATCTAAACTTGCAACTAACTTGGACTTTTGAAAGTTTATTCCTATTAAAACTATGAAATTGTGGTACTTTTTGTGAGAGAGAAAAACACTCGCGATAAAAAGAGACACTCCAGATGTAGCACTATCGCAAGACAACTGAGCAAAGTGGCAAGTAGTATCAGAAACGACTGTCACTTTTTAAAATGAAGAGGCTGGATTTTAATCATGATAGAAGGCTATGAAGAAGCACCTGCCCGCAGCAAGAGGGACAGTGCAATGAGGGCCAAGCAGAAGCGGTAACCAGACTAGGAAGCAAGGCCAGGCTGCACCTGGGTACCCAGAGGAGGTCCCCCGCAGCAGAAGGACCCGCAAAGCAGAGGCGTTTACACAAGTTAAAGTCCACAACTTAAAGCCAAAGACTCTACGATAAAAAGAGTGCATGAAAAAGATGCAGAAAATACTTGAAGGGCACTGATCTATAAAAATTCAATTCTAATGAAAACTATTTTAGACACTGACTATACCTGAAAGCTAACATTACAGCAGAGTGAGACAAGAGTCTCACTCTGTCACTCAGGCTGGAGTGCAGTGGTGCGAGCAGCCTCAACCTCCCCAGGCGCCAGTGATCCAGCTACTCAGGAGGCTGCGGCAGGAGGAACTATGGATGTACACCACCACACCCAACTAATTTTTCTATTTTTTTGTAATGACAGGGTTTTGCCATGTTGCACAGGCCAGTCTCCAACTCCTGGGCTCAAACAATTGGCCTGCCTTGGCCTCCCAAAGTGCTAGGAGTACAGGCATTAAGTCACTGCACCAGGCCTGGAATTAAGTCTACTCAAGGGGAGAGATTATTTCAAAGTAGGAAAAAGGGAGTGGCATATCCTATATAACTAAACATTCTGATCCCAAATGATATGCTACATTTAGAAATTTTAAATCTCACTTTCAGAAGCTTTTTACATGCTTTAAATATCTTGTTTTTTTAAATACCTCAAAAACTCAATGAAATCTGCAAATTGGTGGCTCTTATAAAAACACTTTTTAAAAACCAAGCCCCAAACCAGTTAAAATTGATGCTATTAACATAAAAAGAATTTTGTTTAACAAACTCTAAAGTATCCCTGTCCAAATATATAAATGGCAATTAGGCTCCCCCAAAAAAAGCAGGCAGCAATGAGATAAAAAGTAAATCTAAGCACAATATGGTGTCTTTCTTACACCTCAAACTAAAATCTATTAAAATAATAAAGTCACCTGAAATCTAAACAACAACTTTCAAAAAATTTCAAATAGATGTTTATTTGTAACCTAACAGTACTGTTTCTCTGACCGGTCATTCCTCTGACAGGTCACCCTCACATCAAAACCTCATTCCCTTCTACCTTTTCATCTCCAGAATCCTCCTCCCTGTCCACCTTCAGTTCTCTTCTCTTCTGAGTATCAATCCCACCAAACCTCTTCATACCTACACTTCATCCCAGTAAGCCTGACACTAACACTCCACAGAGCCATCACTCGTGTCCTGTCTTTTGCCCTGTTCTGAGGAAACATAAAGACAGAACTGAAAACTTGTCGTTTTTTCAGTCATTACACCTGCAAGCTATTTTCCTCCACAGAGACATAGAGCTAGAAAGGCCTACAAGCAACCAAGATGACCAGGAGGCAGCCTCCACATTGTTCATTAGGCCTAACCAATCCTACCCTGAAACTGAAATTGTGAGAGCAAGCCGGTGTGTGTGACAGCACCCTTTCACAGCCGGACTGGGCAGGTCCAGGCTCACCCAGGGACAGCTGGAAGCATGGGAGGGACTCGGCCAGAAAAGGACAAACAGATTCAATAATAATGATCCAGAGCATGCTGTTTGCAGTTTGAAATGCCCCTGATGGCACCCAGGACTAGTTTGTTTATTAGTGTACTTGGTTAGACAGCTTAGCCTGGTTATGTGATCAACAGGGCATAAAAGATCTCACTCGAAACTTTCAGAGAGCTCTCCCCAAACCAAGATTTCTTGCACAGATCTTGGTGGTTCACGATCCTGGGGCAGCCGAGGGAGCTGCGCCTGGAAGTCTCTCGGCCCGAGGCACGCTCTCTCCTGCTGCACCGTTTCTTCTCCTTTGTTGAAGCCTCACACGCGCGTGCCCTTTGGAGCTGTGTGGGTCCTTTCAATTCTCCAGCATCTGTCATCTTGGCAGCCGCCTAGAAGAAAGGTACTCCCTGACCCCTGAAAAGCGCGAATAAGAAACCCCAAGTGGCAGAAAAGACAGAAAGGAGTGAAATGAAGCCAAAGAAAGAAAAAGCAAAGCATACTACCATATTCAAGAGCTGTTTGGTTTACTTGTCAAGTTCAAAATGGCATTATTTTAATAAAACATTTTTGTAATTCACATATTTACTATAAAAAGCTTAAAAGAACATGGATGTTAGATTCTTTTCAAAGAGACTTTAAAAAAAATTCTTTTACCTGTGAACTCAGCTGAGTTTTTATCCAGTTGAAGTAGTAATTTAAGTCACTGCCTTCCATCAATTCTTTTCCCCAAGCAGCTAACTTCGCAATAATTCTTGCTGCCTGAAAACGAGTAAGAAATACATCTGACTGCAACATTAATTCTAAAAATCACATTATATACCTTAAAAAAAGGATTTGTAATCATTTTGCTACACAGTTTCTCAACACTCAACTCCTCTAAAAATAATTTATATTTCATTTTTAAAAATATATTTTGAAACAAACATTTAAAATATATTTTTAAGTATTTCTGCCAAAGTGAACCAAAATTAGCTGGGTCTTAGGAATGTGTTGACACTCCATGTATTATTTGGAGTTTCAAAAGACTGGAATTCATTATATGACCACCAAAAAAAAAAAAGAACACAAAAATCTTTCTTAGAAGCAGACTGTCACCACACCACTTGCCAGAATTCTAAGCAAACTCTACAACAAATTGCCAACCTCTCCCACACTCATCAAGCCCCCTGGGAGTTCTGATACTTAAAAATCCATTTCTTGTGATAATATACATCCTAGGTATTAGTTACCTCTCCCAACATAAATATCCTTTCTCCATTTTCTTCATGCTATATAACCATTATTTTTTTAATTAAATAGGCTTACTGTTTAGGAGAATTACTGTCAGGAGGCCAAGGATTGAAGATATTACCAGTGGTGCATGCAGAAGACCAAGAAACAAGAGACCTGACATCAGCACATGGTAAACCAGTGGGAGTCTGCCCCTCAGAATGTGTAAGACTGGCCAAAAGTAATTAAATCATCAAGAAGTTAACATGGATTTGGCTGCACAGTGATAATGAACCTGTGACTAAGTGTGTATTTGTCAGTTTTGTTACAGCATGTGGAGCACATTTAAACCAAACAGTGAAGATAAGTCTCTACAATTTTAAAGAGGGAAACAATTACTGAAATATATTAAAGAATAAAAAATATTCTTTAAAATACAGTTTATTTCATCAGTCCTCCTTAATTTCTCTTTTTATAGGTATTTCATAATGTACATGACATATAAATATGCTTTATGAATACAATATACTGTATGAATACATACACATGCGGAAGAGGGAGGGAGACAACACACATGCTCAAAAATGTTTCTCCGCCAGTGGCCCTTGATTTGAAAACTAAAAACATCTACTCTGGAGCTACCACATGCCCCCAGCCAGCTCCTGCCATCCCCATCCCCAGAGCCCACTCCCCAGCGGGAACAGAGAAGGCTTGTTTGTACAAAGGTTTATTCTCTCAACCCTGCTTTCGGACTCCATGAAAGATTCTGCAGTACTAGGACTTCCAAACACAGCCTAAGTTTAAAACAGGAGTGTATTTAAGATACTGAAAAGCAATCAAGTAATTACTTAAAATAAAAATGAAACACAGTAGCTGCTTCAAAGTAAAGTTTAACCTATGTAGTAAAATGTGGTTTATCCTGCTACAAACACTGTAGAGCTATTTACATGTGAGAATTCTCCACAGGCTTTGATGCATTCCTTAGAGTCTACAAAACCTTAACCGTGTCAGAGCAAACCTGTCTCCCTCCAACTACCAATGTCCTGTCTCTACTGCACAATATTGAAAGCTAATGTCATAGTAGTTACTCCTATGGGAACAGACAGGTTACTAAGTCATAAAAGGCCCAGGTTTCTTTCTTACCTAAATAAGAATGTCATCACAATTTTATTTGGCACTTTAAAAAAAAATAAAATGAAAATTTTTAAATAAATCCCTTTCTTCTTGCATTAAAAAAGAAAAATCTAGCTGTGTGAAGTGACCCACACCTGTAATCCCAACACTTTGGGAGGCTGAGGCAGGTGGACTGCTTGAGCGCAAAAGCTTGAGAACATCCTGGACAGCACAGTAAGACTCCCCCCTCTTTAAAAAAATTAAAAAGGAAAGAATCCAATGAATTCAAAATTTACCATATGAACAGTGAAGGGATCCTGTCGATTCAACATTGGCAGAAAGTAGGGCCACGCAGTGTTCTTGCTACGTCTTGCATAGTCAAAGAAAATGCTAACACGCTGATGATTTTCCTAAAAAAAAAAAAAGGTATCACCAATCAGAACACATTTTGCTAAAGAATGTAACGATTATGCACCACTTCTCAAGCTCCCATCAGTCTGTGTTCTTTTTTCAATGTGTGTGTGTATGTGATTTGTCACTCTGTCGTTATCATTACAGGGCAGGCGGTAGGGATGGTGGTAGGGACAGATATTTTACTAATGAAATCACCTTTAATGATTATGATGATTTTAAATCACAAAGTATAAGACTGTAAGTCACACTTCTTGGCCTGCACCTCTGACCTGCTACTCCCAATGTAGCAGGTCTACACCCACCACTGACACCCTAGCGTGAGCACCTGGCTACCACGTGAGGGAAATCAAAACCAGAAAGGAAGCAGGAAGAGCACCAAAAAAACTGCACCTTAGACTACTAACAAACAGGCAAGGCAAATGGAATTAAGTGAATCGCAAATGTTCAAGGTTACTTCTTAGCCTAAAGTGGTAGAAAACTTGGGATAAACAGAGTAGAAAAGAACATATACTGCTGGTGGACACAGGAGGGAATTCTCAGTTCCAATCACGAAAACTTCACCTCTCACCTAAATTTTCTCTACATATCACTGGCTGAGATCCACTTTCTGGTTCATTAAATGACTAATAGCTGTTAAACAGCAATACTTTTAAAAAAATATTTTTAATACACCACTATATCAGCAGTAATACTTTTTTTTCTGTTTTTTTTATTTCCGTAGGTTACTGGGGAACAGGTGGTATTTGGTTGCATGAGCAATTTCTTTAGTAGTGCTGTGTAAGTAGTAATACTTTTTTAAAAGCACAAATAACTGCCTAAACAAAAATTCCTATTTTCAGATTAACATTTAATTACTTTTAAATTTAGTGGTTTTTATCGGTTAATATTGGTCTACACCAATAATTACCTATTCGAGAAATAGCCTACTGTCTCCTTAGGTAATGAGTCATTATTGTTTACAGTGACAACTGAAATAGTTGTAATAATGATTTTATCAAGGAACCCAAAATTCAGGTGAGCCATCATTGCTTCATTGGTAGAGGCACCCAGGTCACAAAGCTTTAAGAGAATAAGGATAAAGAAATCCTTCCGGTCAGGTACACTTAGCAACTGCTGTTGATATCCAGACATAGAAAAGAATTTAATCCTCAAAATCATGTGCTAAAAACTCAGCATGTGAGGAAATATAAGCAATTCTGTTCAAAAACATTTTGTTCAGAAGTGATGAGAAGAAGGGGGAGGGGAGGGGAGGGGAAGGGGGAGGGGGAGGGAAAGGGGAAGGGGGACGGGAGGGGACGGGGAAGGAGGAGGGGGAGGGGAGGGGGGAGAAGCAGCAGCAGCAGCATCTTTATTTTATTTTATTTTTCCCCTGTATCCACAAAGCTTATATTTTATTTTATTTTTTCTTATTTTTTTATTGCATTTAAGGTTTTGGGGTACATGTGCAGAGCATGCAATACAGTTGCATAGGTACACACATGGCAGTGTGTTCTGTTTGCTTTCACCCCTTCACCCACATTTGGCGTTTCTCCCCAGGCTATCCCTCCCCACCTCCCCCTCCCCCTGGCCCTCCCCTTTTCCCCCCAATAGACCCCAGTGTTTAGTACTCCCCTTTCTGTGTCCATCTTTAAAAGATTGGGTGGCAAAAAGAAAAAGAAACAGAAGTGAAAACTAGGGTTCTGCAAGACAAAAGGAGACCAAAAAAAAAAAAAAATCCAAGGACACACAATCTACCTCCCACCAAAAGGAAGTCATCTATTAAAGAAACTGCCAGCCTTGGCATATAGTGAGAGCCTTATCTCTACAAATAAAAAATTTCAAAAATTAACCAGGTGTCATGGTGAGTGCCTGTATTTCCAGCTACTCAAGAGGCTGAAGTGGAGGGCTGTTTGAGCCCAAAAGTTTGAGGTTACAGTGAGCTATGATGGCACCATTGCATTCCTTAGGTAATGAGTCATTATTGTTTACAATAATGACTGGTAGACAGAGTGAGATCTTGTCTCAAAAAAAGAAAAGGAAAGAAAGAAAAGAAAAGAGAAAAGGAAAAGAAAAAAACAAGGCCAGGCACAGTGGCTCATGCCTGTAATCCCACCACTTGGGAGGCCGAGGTGGGCAGATCACCTGAGGTCAGGAGTTCAAGACCAGCCTGGCCAATGTGGTGAAACCCTGTCTTAACTAAAAATATAAAAATTAGCCAGGTGTGGTGGCACACACCTGTAATCCCAGCTACTCAGGAGGCTGAGGCAGGAGGATCCCTTGAGTCCAGGAGGCAGAGGTTGCAGTGAGCCAAGATCATGCCACTGCATTCCATCCTGGACAAGAGCGAAACTCCATCTCAATTAAAAAAGAAAGCAAGGAAGGGTGTGGGGGGAGAGAGAGAGAATAAAACTGCCTATCACAAGGGAAAAAAAAAAAAAAGAAGGCAGGCACAGTAGATCACACCTGTAATTACAGCACTTTGGGAGGCCGAGGCAGGTGGATCATTTGAGGTCAGGAGTTCTAGATCAGCCTGACCAACATGGTGAAACTGTCTCTACTAAAAATAAAACAAATTAGCCAGGTGTGGTGGCACATGCCTGTAGTCCCAGCTACTCAGGAGGCAGGCAGGAGACTTGTTTGAACCCTGAAGGTGGAGGTTGCAATGTGCCAAGATCATGCCATTGCACTCCAGCCTACACAATGGAACAAGACTCCATCTCAGGTGCAATGGCTCACACCTGAATCTCAGAACTCTGGAAGGCCAGGCCTGGGCAGGCAGATTTCTTGAGGCCAGTAGTTCAAGACTAGACTGGCCAACATGGCGAAATACCACGTCTACTAAAAATATAAAAATTAGCTAGGCATGGTAGCACACGCCTATAATCCCAGCTGCTACTCTGGAGGCTGAGGCATGAGAACAGCTTTAACTTGGGAGGTGAAGGCTGCAGTGAGCTGGGATCACACCACTGCACTCCAGCCTGTGCAACAAAGTGAGACCCTGTCTCAAAAAAAAAAAAAAAATGGTATTCCTGAATGACAAATTTTGTACACCACCCAAATCCATGACATGAATAGATGAAAGAACCCCACGCAGATACAAAACTACCATAAAAAAGAAACCAAACACTGCAAATCAAAAGATCTCAGATGATGAAATTCGTCTCCCAAAAATACAACCACAAAACGAAACTGTAATATAACAATGCAAACTGAATTAAGTATTCTCAAACATCTGGAAAGATAAAATGCCACCTTGGCTCAGAAGTTCAAAACCACAACTGAGAATTTGTCCCTAACAAAGGAAAATTTTAAAGCAGCTGATTGAATTCAGAAGAGAAATGAAAGAAAAGAGCAAAACGGTCTCAAAAATTAAAACTAAATTATAAGGTGTTCAACAGAGAACAGACTCAGAAGTCAAAGAGCTGTGAAGCAGAGATTGTCTATCAGCCGAGCTTAATCAAGAGAAAACTTCAGCAGAAGAACCAGTGGTAAAATTTAACATGACAGAACAAAGGTGGGAACAAGTATAGAATGACAACATGTAAATGCTGTATGTTCTGACAAAGTAAAAAAGAGCCACTAAAAAATTAGAGCGGAAAAGTAGAATACGTTCATTGTTGCAATCAAAAAAATAGTATTGAAAATGACGAACCAAATAATTAAGGAATAGAACGGGATTAATGGTATTAAAGGGCTATAAATACAAAGATAACCAATAGAACAAACCCAAAACTCCCTAAATGCCACAAAGCTTAATAAAAATGCAAACAAAACACCTAATGGAGAATAAAACAGTAATGCACACAGTAATTTTAACACACTGTAACAGTTGAGACCAAATTTCTTAGTAATATTCATAAATGTGAATGGCTTAATTTAAAAAAAAAGGAAAAAAAAAGGGCTTTCAACTTGCAAAGCAAGACCCAGATCTATACTGGATACAAAAGACTTACCTAAAACAAAATGATTCACCTAAAAAAGGGACAGGGAAAGATACACAGACAAGTAGAAACAAGAAGCAGCCATGAGTTGCTACACCAGTACCAAAGCAGAGTTTAAGCCAAAATATATTAAGTGGGATACTTTTTAACCATAAATGCCACAATTTACTGTAGATGTAACACTAATGTGTATATATATGCACCAAATACAGCATCCACCTTTCTAAAGTGAAAACTACAAAAGATATTAGAAAAAATAGTAAAAAAAAAAAAAAATGCATTTATAAGGGGGAGACTTTTAACATACCACTCATAGTACAAAAAAAAAGCAGACCACAAAAGTAGTAGACAAAAAGTAAAGGTATAGAAAACCTACATCCTAAATTATTAACATAATCAATAAAGTAGATCTCATGAGTATAAATCAAACCTACACCCCAAAAGAAAGAATACATCTTCTCAAGCACACCTGGTACATTTACAAAAATGATCATATACTAACTAAAAAAAAAAAAAAATCAGTAAATTCCATAAAGTAGAAATGTTTTTAAAACATGATAAAGCTCGAAATCAATAACAAAATATTTTAATGCATTTCTACCTAAAAAAATTAGGTAGAAAATTAAAATATAAACAATGTGGGGAAACCCTGTTTTAGTTAGTATATTTCTACCTAATTTTTTTAGGTAGAAATGCATTAAAATATTTTGTTATTGATTTCGAGCTTTATCATGTTTTAAAAACATTTCTACTTTATGGAATTTACTGATTTTTTTTTTTAGTTAGTATATGATCATTTTTGTAAATGTACCAGGTGAAAATTAAAATATAAACAACCCTCTGTGAAAGAGAACATAGAAACTGAATTAAGAAAACCCTAAATCACTACACATCAGATCTGAAGAGATACACTTTAAGCAGTAATCAAAGGAAAATGTATACCTTTAAATATTTATTTCTTCTTTTTTTTTTTTTTTCTTTTTTTGGCCAGGCTGGAGTGTAATGATGCAATCTCAGCTCACTGCAACCTCCTTTGCAGTTCAAGTGATTCCCAGGTTCAAGCAATTCTCCTGCCT